GGGATCTGTCCATTTATAGTTCATCTTTGCAGTCTGTACAAGTTTCCTGTCTGAACATAAGGGTATCCAGTTCCAGAGCCTTTTTCCATTGAGGAATGTTTACACCTTTTTGGAAGCTTAATTGGACTGGGCATGATGGCTCACTCATGCAGTCCCAGCACTAGAGAAGGCTGAGGTAGGCAGGAGATCATAGTTTAAAGACAGCCTGTATAGAGTAAGACTCTTGTCAATAATAATAATAATAACAAAAAAAAAAACAACTTAATTTGCCTTATCTGTGCTTCTTTATTTTTGGATTCTGATTTTTTTCTATATTGATGAGTTCATCTGCTGGCACATGTAGAGGGTTTTGTGTCCTTTCTCATGGTGGTTAATGGCCTATGTCTTTGTCTGGTTTCAGTATTGGGGTGATGCTGACCTCCCAAGACAAGTTAGGTGTCCTCTCTCTTTTGTTTCTGGAAGGTGTTGTGTGGAATCAATGTTGCTTACCTGAAATGTTTAATATATTCATCAGTGAAGTCTCCACTCACTAACAGAGTTGCCACTATAGAGAACCAGTTCATCCTGAGGATTCCAGATGGGAATAGGAAGGGCTAAGATGATGCTGAGAAATGGTCTTAAAAGAGGTATTTGGTCCAGCCAAAGCAGCAGAAAGGCCTAGGAGCTACTTCATGATGGGCTGTGCTCACCATAGGTATTGTCCCTGGACACAAACATCACAAATCAGGTGAATAAGCTGAACCGAGACCTACTTCGCCTGGTAGACGTTGGTGAATTCTCTGAAGAGGCCCAGTTCAGAGACCCCTGCCACTCCTACGTGCTCCCTGAGGTGATTTGCCACAGCTGTAATTTCTGCCGAGACCTGGACCTGTGCAAAGATTCCTCCTTCTCTCAGGTGAGCTCAGCTGGTGATCAGAACCTCTAAATGTCCAAAGTGGTTGGGACATGTAGCCCAACCTGTAGTATCCAACCTACTGCCCCTTATGGATTAAAAATAGGCCACCCCCAAACCATTCCACTGTAACATGTTAGAAAATTGTTTTGAAAAGGTCTGATCAGCACAGAAAGGCTCAGGCAGCCAAGAGCAGTGATGGTTACCTTTGCCCCAGCACTCCTCTCTATGACATCTTCCCTTTACACCAGCCCAATATGCTATTGCCCAGGTGGACCATGGCTACCACTCACACTGACTTCTCAGCCTTCCTCCCCACTCTCCCAGGATGGGGCCATCCTGCCTCAGTGGCTCTGCTCCAATTGTCAGGCCCCCTACGACTCAGCTGCCATTGAGTCAGCCTTGATGGAAGTCCTGCAGAGAAAACTGATGGCCTTCACACTGCAGGACCTGGTGAGCTCCCCAGTCCACCCAGGAGTTTCCATACACTATCAGCATTCAGGGAAGCCAAGAGCATGCTTGGATCCTGAGTCTTGCCTCCAAGGGACGGCCCCAGGAGTCAGTCGTCATCCATGCACCCAGCCCACTAATTCTGTCCACATCTCTTGGTTCCTTCTGTGGGGACTTTCATCCATCCAGTGGAGGGAGGTAGACAGTAGACAGGAAACGGGGTCAGCGGTAGAGTGCAAGAACAGAGCAGGAAAGCTTTGGCAGCACTTTATGAGCACCTGAGCAAAGTCCATGGTTATATCCTTGGGCAACTGTTGGGACAGAGCCAGCTGGGACATAGAACATCCCCAGGCCTTGGTAATCTAGCTTGGGAATACCCACAGCAAGGAGGAAGGAGCTGGTAAGATTTGAATAAATCTTGAATTTCATCAAGGCACTGAGTCCTGATGTGACTTCAGTAGGGAAATAAACTTACCAATGGGTTCATGAAGGTATCCCTCTTCAACAAGGCTGAAAAGCTACAGATAGGATCCAGTGTGATAATGGTTTGAGCCAAGATCAGTGGTTCTGCTTCCTTGTTTTAGGTATGCCTGAAGTGCCGTGGTATGAAAGAGACCCATATGCCTGTGTACTGCAGTTGTGCCGGGGACTTTGTTCTCACCATCCACACTGAGGTGGGCCATTCTCACAGACACACAGGGTTATTTGCCCCTCCTATCTGAGTAGAACCCAGAGTCATTGTGTCTCTTTGCTCCTACAGGTCTTCATGGAACAGATTAGAATCTTCCAGAATATTGCCAAGCACTACAGTATGTCATACCTCCAGGAGACCATAGAATGGCTGCTACAAACAAGCCCTTTATCAAACTGTTAGCAAGCCTAGGCATAAGACAAGGTACCTTAATGCCTGCTCCAGATGGCTGAACCACTGACCACCTGACTTTTCCAAACTCGTAACTACAGTCCAGGAAAACCAGAGAGAATACTTTCAGAGAGCTTCAAGGTGTCATAAACAAGCAGGAGTAGGGAATGACTCTGTCCTCAACTGCCTGCTAAATAAACATGTTTTGAAGCTTCTACTTTGTGCTTCCATAACAGCTCTTTCTTTTGCCTCCTATTTACTGAGATAGGTTCTGAGATGAGGTGAGGGGGTGTGGGCAGAGAGGATGCAGTAGCTGGTACAGAGCCCTGACCATAACAGAGTCTTGCTTATTTTCAGACAAATGGACCTTTCACTCACTTCATGGAAGTAGAATTTGAGCTGCTTTCTGGGAAATCCAGGTCCTAAACATGTGGAGACCCAAGGTTTTTGCTTCAGAGCAAAGTCTGAGGAGGGTTGTCACCCAGTGTCTTGAGTGAGACCTGGGGCTCTGTCCCAAGATGGGCTGAGATGAGCCTGAAAGGTAGAACATCGCTGACCTACCTAGTCTCTGCGGAAAACCCACTCTTTGTCCACTGAGACTATAGCAAGGACCTTATAAGCCTGAAGCCCACAAGCAAAGGGTTTTTAAGTGACATTTATCATAAACTTGAACACCCTGTATAAGACATAGATTTTTTTAAGAAATACCTTCTCACATGCAAGATTTTAGGCTGAACTGTTGAGGGAAGGAGGAAATGAGGGAAAGCATTCATGTGAGGTTTCAGAGAGATCTGTTGAGGGCTTGTACTCGGTCACCACTTGTTCCTCAGGACATCAGAGACCTGGAACACTGAAGCTGGCACCCTCTTAAAGGGCTTAATCTCCAGACTTTTTTTTTTTTTTTTTTTTTTTTTTTGGTTTTTTGAGACAGGGTTTCTCTGTGTAGCTTTGCGCCTTTCCTGGGACTTACTTGGTAGCCCAGGCTGGCCTCGAACTCACAGAGATCCACCTGCCTCTGCCTCCCGAGTGCTGGGATTAAAGGCATGCGCCACCACCGCCTGGCTTTCTCCAGACTTTTTAAGAATGTGATGCCCAGCCAGGCGGTGGTGGCACATGCCTTTAATCCCAGCACTTGGGAGGCAAAGCCAGGCGAATCTCTGAGTTCGAGGCCAGCCTGGTCTACAAAGTGAGTTCTAGGACAGGCTCCAAAGCTACACAGAGAAACCCTATCTCAAAAAAAAAAAAAAAAAAAAAAAAAAAGATGCCCTCAGCACTGCAAAGTTGTGGCATAAGTAGCTGTTCTCACCTCCTACTCTACTGATATTGACCCATCTACTCGATGAACAGAGCCTTTCATTAATCTCAGAAAATAAGAGAACTCGTGCATCTCACTGAGCTAAATGCAGCCCCTGTCTACTGCTGCTTTCTGGCCCAAGCCAGTTTACCAGGGCAGTGACCAAAGTGTCAAACTCAGAAACCCAAAATAATAGCCACAGTGGGGTGGGAAACCCGACCGAACTTAGGTGTATGAATATTTTGCCTGAATGTATGTGTATGCACCATGTGTATGCCTGGTACCCGCAGAGGTCAGAAAAAAGCATTGGTTCCCCTGGAACTGGAGTTATAGATGGTAATGAGCCACCATGTGGGTGCTGGGAACCGAATTCCATCCTCTGAAAGAGCAGTAAGTGATCCTAACTGCTTAGCCACCTCTCTAGCTCCCTACAGTTTCCACTTCTTAGCTTACTATTTTGTATTTGCACTGGGAGCCTCAGTCTCTGAAAGGAAAGTTTAATATCTATCATCTGTCCATCAGGAACTAGTCTAAACCTTGATGAGCTCAGACTGTCTGTAGGGAGAAACCTGATACCTACTTGATCTTCCCTGTTTGGAATGTGGACTGAGTTGGCAGTGCTGGGACCTTCTGAATGGAAATCAAATCAAATTAGGAAGATGAGGGGAGGAGGGAGATGGTTAACTATGCTTCCTGGATCTCTGGGCCTAAAAGGCATTGGCTTGTCTCCCAGCAGAGCCATCCTATAGCAACACAGGGTAGGTCACAGCAATCATAGATACCACTCAGCCTGGGTTCACTCGGAGGTCAGTTTAGGGATTCTGAAATAGAAAACTGCATCTCTGGCCCTGGTTGTTAAGCTGTAGCTAGAGACCCAGCTGGAAAGGGCAGTTTGTCTAAAACTATTAACTGGACATCTTATAACTAAACATGGAGGAAGTTAAACATATTTGGTGGCCTGTGGAGTCCATGACCAAGGAAGGGAAGGTTCTGGGGTTATTGAGAGCTAGTGTCCTTCTAAGCATCCTATAAACACTTGGTGTGACAACTAGAGACACACACAAGCATGCAATCTTCAGGTAATGTGGGCAGAAACTGAAGGGTCTCCTTCCTAGCCACTTGACTACTTAGTGTGCTTGTCTGAGCTGGGATACCTTTCTGGTGGCATTCAGCATAGACCAGGGAACCAAGATCCAGGCTCCCAACAGGCTTTGCCCAGCCAGTCACTCCACTAACAGCAAAGATGCAATAACTAGATTACCCCAGGCCCTGATATTAGTGCTGGCTTTGTCCTCTACCTATACTCACTGTCCTCACCCCGTCAGGGATTCTGAATATAGCTTTGGTCCCCTTGGCAGGTGTAGCTGTAATCTAAACCTAGGCTGGTTAACCAACCTAGAAATGTAGGTAAACTCAAGAGTGCAGAGCCCCTGGGAAGGGGACTGACTCTCGTGCCTTATATTCCTGAGTCCACAGCTACTCTCAAAGAATTGAGGCCAGAAAGCTTCTCATCACTGGTTTATTGGTCTCAGCATAGTATGACTTCTAAAGGAGGGCTTAGAATTATACAACAGAAGGACTTAGCTCTGATTTTGGGTCCCAGAAGGCTGTACAAAAGTATGACAGGTGGTCAAGGAAGGGGGCTAAGGGGCCCTATGAGGAGTTTCGTTGGTAAAGGAGATGGCAAAAACCCAGTTCTCCCCTAAGCCTTAGGGAGAGGAAGAATGTAAGCCTGGGCCAGAGCAAGGCTCTGTCCTCTTGCACAGGCGTCTCTTGTTTCCCAGTCACATAGACATGCTTGGCTACTGCAGAGTGCAGATCCTCCCTAGGGCTGCCAAAGCAGCTGAGGCCATCCCTGCCCTCCAGATCCAGGTCTGCGGCTTAGTGAGGCTGAGATCAGAGTTGAGCCAAACCTTTGGGGTCCGTGGATGTGGGGTCCTGTTGGGCGGGCTCAGGGACAGGAAGCCTTTGTCCCACATGCTGGTCAAGAGTGTCCACCACCTGCTCAGTCAGAGCAGAGATGGAACAAGGCCGAGGAAGCTGGACAGCCAGTGGTAGCTTTGCCCCTTCTCCCAAAGTTGGCCCTCCACCTGATGGAGGGCTAGGCGGCTGATCCTGGGAGTAGTGACTAGGTGGGGGAGGGACCTGGCCCAAGACAAGGGCAAGGGTCACAGGCCAGCTAGTTGAGGTATGCCTTGGAGTACGCACCTTGTCGAACTTCTTATGGCTATAGAGCTTGTTTTTGTTCATGAATGTTAGCAAAATCCAGTCACACAGAAAGGAGCCCTGCAGTCAGCAGACACCACTGGGTAAGGGCATATCAGACACTCCCTAACCCACCCAGGCCCCCAGGTGCATCTCTTACCACCCCGATGGAGGTCAGAGCAGTGGCCAGATTGATGATGGTAGGAATGAGACTGAATTTTCCTGCCTGTAGAAAACAAACTTGCATTTAGTTAGACCTTCATCATAGGCTGCTGTGGCAGAAGGGTGGTGATATATTGTGTACCCTAATAAAATTTGCCTGAAGACCAGAGAACAGAGCCAGCCACTAGATCAAACATAGATGCCAGGCAGTGGTGGCACACACTTTTAATCCTAGCACTTGGGAGGCAGAGATCCATCTGGATCTCTGTGAGTTCAAAGCTACCCTGGACTACATGAGATTGACTCAGTCTAGGAGAGAAACAGAGCCAGGCTGTGGTGGCACACACCTTTAATCCCAGCACTTGAGATCTCATGCCTTTGCTTGGGAAACACACATGCCTTTAATCCCAGGAAGTGATGGCTGGGTGGAGAAAGGTAGGTATATAAGGCGTGAAGCAACAAGGCTTTTTCAGGCTGAGGAGTCCTAGAAGAGGTGGCTTGTTCCTTTGTCTCTCTGATCTTCAGGCAAATTTTATTAGGATACACAATATATCACCACAGTGGGATGATGTAAGGGACATGGAGCTAGGCCAGCTCAGGCTTAGGTGGAACTCTTCAGCTCTGTGTACCTGCCCATGCACGATAACATCGATTCGGATCCCATAGGCTTTGATGAGAGTTCGACTGGTGGTGGTGCCGTTTATCTTGTAATACTTGGCAAACCTAGGGTTGGGTAAACCAAAAGCAGTGTCCAAGCAGTCAGACTGAATGTGCACACTCATCTTCCTCTCTTTAGGACCACTTCAGATGGAACTATAGTCAAAGCAGACACCACTGTCTACGATGTGGACCCAAGCATTCAGAGAACGAGGTACCTGAAGTTGTAGCCTGAGGAAGCAGGGTCATACTTGGGGTCAAGCCTCCGGAAAGAGTATTTGGGGTTGCACTCTGATTCAGACAAGTCCAGGTCACAGTCCCAGTTGATGATGACGCCAATGACACCACCCTGCAGAAAAATGAGCCAAGGAGCATTGAGGGGCATAGAGCAGAAAACCCTCAAAGGGAGACAGTTCAGCTCAGAGCCAAAGGTTCAGGGAACAAGTGAGTGTATGGTATAATGAGGTACTAGCACTAGCCGTGGGACCAGGTGTCAATAATTGAGCAGGTGCATTCACAGACCATGATCACATTTCTCCCTTCTGCCTAAACAGAGCCAAGGCTGGCCAAGAGAAGGTGCAACTAACTGCAGCAAAACCCTCGTGGGTAGCAGATGCCAGCACCCACACTGTCCCCACACCCTCCCTCACCTTGTGTGCCAGTTCTGTGAAGTTCTCCCCTGCCTGCTCTACAATGAAGCCTAGCTTGAAGATGGGACAGTATGGGTCAGAGTCCTCATCAAACGTGCAGTGCTTCAGGTAGTCTATCTTCTGGCTTGCGATGTTGCCCCTAAGGAGTGGCAGAAGACAGACCTGTACTCTAAACTCCTGGTTCCCAACACACGCTTCCACACTGCCTGGGCACTGTATTTGATATTACTCTGCCTCTCAGACTCACTTGGAGAACTTGAACTTGGGGTAGTGGATGTTGTTCTTGATGAGGATGGTGAAATTTGGTGCCATTTTACCCAGAAAGTGGCTGCAAAGGTACAGACAGGGTTTAGTCTCCCTTCCCCCAAAGCCCAAGGGAGGGGGACACACTGTCCCTCTCCCTCCACTCCCCACCCCAGCTTGTCTGATCTTCATCAGTAAGGACAAAAGAAACTAGCAGTGAAGTCTGTGGACCCTGCATACTTGTCCGAAGTTCCGTCTTCCACCGGGCACCAGGCTGACACCTCGCAGGTCTTGGAGTCCCCATGGTAATAGGGTACACAGTGCCCTGTCCGAATCCCTGCAGAGCAAACACTGATTAAGCAGCTGAGGTCAGTGCTAACACTGCCCCCACCAAACCCCCCCGCGCGGGCGCCTGCCTTCCCCACTGTCCCTGGTGCACACTGACCATTGCCTTGCATGTCCAGCTGCCCGGCGATGCAGTCGTCATCTGAATGGCAGGTGGAACTGTGCACCTTCATGCTCTAGAGTTGAGACTACAGGTCAGAGGGCAGACTCTGTAACTGGCCAAGGGTTTCCCAGGCCACCCTCGACCCGCCTCACCTCTGGGCATGTTCCCAGGGTCTGGGAAGGGGTGACCTCGATCCTGGTGATGATGCTGACCACACTGCCCCCCTGGGTGCAGAAATAAAAGCGCGGTGGGCGGGTCAGCTCACTCAGACTAGTCACACCACTGAGGAGCTTCGGGCCTGGGGCAGGAAGCGCCGCACCTCCGGGGGCTTTACGTATTCCTCAACGTCCCACACTTTGTGCTCCGATATGGTGATCCCCTTGACTTTGGTGATGATGGAGCTCTCCGGACCTGTCTCGCTGTCCTGGTAGCTTTTCTGCACGATGAACACGTACCTGCGGGACAGGGCGGTGCCGGCTCCGGAGGCAACCCTGGAGAGAGCAGGGCGTCCCTCTCCTGGGGCCCTAAGGGCTCCCGCGCATGCCCCCAGCTAAGGATCCCCTTCCGCCCGATTGCCCACCGTGCCCCGGCCCGCGCACCACACGAAGTAAAGCAGGATGAGCAACTGCACCATGCGGTGCACGAACCCCAGGCGCCGGTTCCGCACCACGATCACCTTGGGCGTCTCGTAGTCCCAGAACGCGGACCAGCAACCCCGGGCCAAGCGCCGGACCATGGCGGCCCCTGCGGGAAGCCGGGGCTGTGCAGCGGCCATGGCCCAAGCAGCTCAGTCCACCAGAGCTGCCTGAGGGCCTCGCACCCGCTGCTCTCCTGGGCAAGCCGGGGGGTGTGGCCTCGCGCCCCGCCCATTGTGACAGTAGCAGTCTAGTCCTTTTTCAAAGCTGATGGAGTTATGTATACCCGTCTCCCTGAAAGCTGCAGGTGCAGTCGGGTGCGGCTTAGAATGCATTCTGGTGGTTGGTGGGTCGCAAGTCCAACTTGATGCCAAGGAGGGCGGAGAGGCCAGGCCAGCCAAGAGAGGCCGGGGTAGGCGCCTAGAGAGCTCCAGGAAGAGCGCCACATTGGGAGAGTGCAGCCCTGTCTTGCTAGCTCCACATTTGAGGCTCAGGACAGGAGCCACAGGGGAAGGGGGGCTGACGGCGTAGCACTGTGCTGTAATTCCTTTTCCCACCCCCAAACCAAAATTGTTTCTTGGTAACTGATTAGGTCTCCCCTGAGCCCAGGTTATTTGAAGCAATACCAGACATCTTAGTATGTCACAGAGAGATGATTTTAAGCCGTCTTCTTTTATGGAAATAAGATGCACTTAGCATATAAACAATCCAGTGGGTGTAGTCCATGCTGAATGTTGTGCAGTTCCCTTCACTGGACAACACAAAACATGTTCTCCACCCCAAAAATAAAACCTCTACCCTTGAAGCAGCTATTCCTGTTCCCCATCCTAAACTCTCATGTCTCAGGATTTTTCTGTGACATACAACATGTGCTAACTTTATCATGTGCTAGTACTTCAGGGTGAGGCCAGAAATAATTCCATCCTATTGGAAGACCTGGGCCATCTCTTTGTTGTTGTTAATAGCACAGTTGCGGAAGCATGTGCATATTTGAACTGTTTGATTAAATCTGACCAGTGCCTGATTAGCAAAGGCAATCTAATTTAGAACAAACAGCTGAATGCATAATTTTAGAGAATGTTTTGTAACAAAAGGCTGGGTCTTAGTCTATCTCAGACCATTAATTCAAGCTGAAATCATCAAGCTGAATACACCCTCCTGTTTTCTACCAAGGACCTCCACTGATCTTGGTGCCATGATTTGCGAGTCATCCTTTCTCAGCTAAAGCCTGATTTAATTTGCCTAAAGCTAAGCACGGTGGTGCAAAACCAGGAATCCCACCACTTGGGAGACTGAGACAGAAGGATAGTAAGTACCTGATACATAGTCAGTCATAAAGAAGTAACAAGGAATGCTGGAGCTATACCTCAGGGTATCTTAGTGGTGGAGCACTTGCCACATGTTTGTGAGCCCCTGGGTTCGGTCTCCAACCCTGTCCCCTGAGACACACACACACACACACACACACACACACACAAATGCAAAAAATTTCAAGTGAATGAACAGCCCACACATTCTAGAACAGACAGAAGCATTGATAAATGAGAACAACACGAGACTATTATTCAGAGGTGGAGTCAGCACCAGACACAGGTGCCTGACAGTGGAATCCTGGGAGCTGAGAAAGGAAGACTCTAGGTGCCTACAGAGTTGCCCTTGGGAGGGGTGGCCATCAAAGAGCCAGTGTCCTACATACCTACTAGGAGCGTGGCTAGTCCTGGAACAGAGGCAAACAGCAGGGAAGTTGTGGTGGTAGGCCAGGTCCATGCATAGATGTCCTGTGCTGAGGGTGGGGCAGGAAGCTGGAAGCAGAGGCAAGTGGAGCTACCGCTCAGAGACTGGAGGGCTGTTTCCTTGGATAACCTATAACCTCTGCTTCAAGGCTGACGTCTGTTCTGGAAACTGCAGTTTGGCTGGTCTCGCTCTGCACAGAGGAGCAAGTGGATCCGAGGCAAGGAGGTAGGACCACTGGGTACTCAGCACTACCAAAGACTCCTCTCTTTCCCCAGGAAAAAGTCATATTAGTCTGTCCTGGATGGGTGGAACCTGACAGGAAAGAGAGATAGTATAGTTTCTGGTCTACCCAGCGGTTGCAATCATCTCTTTTCCCTCAAAACAGAGTGAAAAGTTAATTGTATAATGGCTTCTTCTAGGGCAATGCACAGCCTGAAAAACCCGTTTTGTACAATATGGAATAACTTAGAGTAGGGTGTAGCCTGATCTCAAAGGTCCCTGGAAAGCTCTCCATCCCCCACAGAGCATCTCTTCCCATTAAACACCACCTTTCTAGGCCCTGGCACCACTCTACCATCTGTCTTGATGGAGTTGATGACTCCAGGGCCCTCACATAAGTGGGGTCATACAGTATTCGCCCTTCTGTGACTACCTGATTTATTCAGCATGGTGTCCTCAAGGCTTTCCTGTTGTGGTGTGTATGGATAGAACACATCCATTTTTTTTTTGAGACAAGATTTCTCTGTGTAACTTTGGTCTGTCCTGGATCTTGCTTTGTAGACCAGGCTGGCCTCGAACTCACAGAGATTCACCTGCTCTGCCTCCTGAGTGCTGGGATTAAAGGTGTGTGCCACCACTGCCCAGCCTCATTTATCCTTGTATCTATCAGTAGTCCGTTGTGATCAGTGTTGTGAACAGTGGTGATCTGTGACCTTTATACCAGGCTTCTCATGACAATAACAGAATGTTCTCGGGCCATGTGAGGTATATCCTGCCCAACTTGGAAACTGGGCCTGTGAACTTGTCAGGACTTATAAGAAAGTTTGAGGCTTAAAAACAAAAATCTTTTCCTGGTTTCAAGCATGAAATGAACATAGCAAGTTGGAAATTCAAAGGTATTCAGTTTTGTGTGGCTCAGTTTATAATATATGAAGGCTATTAAGCTATATGGAATGAATGCTTGCTGAATTTGAACCTTGGCTGGGGAAATGCTAGTGCCCCCAAGTACCTGGTGACAAGGGGCATCTGGGACTCTTGACTTGCTATGAAGAAAGCAAGAGTGAATTCAGGCCCTTTCCACCCTTCTATAAGTTCTTCAACTCAGGCACTCAAAACAGGATCAAGTCTGGGAATTGGAAGGAGACCACAGCCAGCAGTCAGTTCCACTCCTGTGGCTGGCAGATTCAACCATAGGCAGTGACAGGGGACAGGGAAGAAGAGAGCCAGTGGTCAGCATGGGGGTGTCACATGACTAACAAGAAGTACAATTGGTCTTGAATTGGAAGAGTAAATAAAAACTATGGGAGCTGGAGCTGGAGAGTTGGCTCAGCAGTTAAGAGCACTTATTGCTCTTCCAGAAAACCCAGGTTTAGTTCCCAGCACCTACATGGTGGCTCACAATCATTCATAATTCCAGTTCCAGGGATCTTATGCTTTCTCTGCATACATGCATGCAGGCAAAACAAAACACGTAAAAATAAATCGATCTTTAAAAACAAAAACATGGAAGCTGAGATCTGATGGAGAATTGGCCTTCTGGAATGGATGGTGAGAGGCTGTGGTTGGCTCGCTCCCCCAGGGTGCCTCAGGCTGTGGTCACAGCTTTGCGTTGTGTTGGGTTGTTGTTGATTTGTACATATGTGTGTATGTTCATGTGTGTGCATGCCTGTGGAAGCCAGAGGATAACTTTGCGTGTGTCTTCCACTGCTTTGAGATAGTCTCTCATTAGTCTAGCACTCATCAATTAGGCTAGTCTGGCTAGCCAGCAGGCTCTAAGGATCCTCCCCACCACTGCCCCTTGCTTTATTTTTATATTTATTTTAAATATGTATAATTAAATATATATTTGTGTGTGTGGATGTTTCTATTGCATGTATGAATGTGTACCATGTGTATGCCTGTTGCCTGCGGAGGCCAGAGTGGGCAGAGGATCCCCTGAAACTGGAGTTACAGATGGTTGTGAGCCACTATATGGGTGCTGGGAACTGAACACATGAAAGAGCAGCACATGCTCTTAACTACTGAGCCATACCTCCAGCACCCCCTTTTTTTTAAAAAAAATGTATTTTATTTATTCTGTGTACCTATGTGTGGTGGGGGGCTTGTGTGGAAATCAGAGGACAACATGTGGGAATCAGTTCTCCTCTCCCACCATGTGGGTCCTGGGGATCAAACTCAGGTCATGGGCTTGGAGGCAAGAACCTTCACTGTTGCTCGAATTTCTAAAGGTCTCATAATAAAAACCCAGAGCCAGATATTGGGGTAAATGCTGGAAGATCAGAAAGACAAAGGAACAAGCCACTACCACATCTTACCTCTAGGACTCCTCAGCCTGAAAAGCCTCTAGTTCCTGTCTCCTCACACCTTAGATGCCTTTCTCTGCCCAGTCATATCATTTCTTGTCTCAACTTTCCTATGCAGGGATTAAAGGTGTGTGCCACCACCGCCTGGCTCTGTTTTGTCTCCTAGACTGAGTCAATCTCATGTAGTCCAGGGTGGCTTTGAACTCACAGAGATCCAGACAGATCTCTGCCTCCCAAATGCTAGGATTAAAGGTGTGTGCCACCACTGCCTGGTCTCTATGTTTAATCTAGTGGCTGGCTCTGTTCTCTGGTCTTCAGGCAAATTTTATTAGGGTACACAATATATCACCACACTTCACCTGCCGAGCCGCTTCACCAGCCCTCACCTGGCTTTTTCACATCAAGTCTAGGGATTTAACTGAGGTCTTCGTAAGCAGCACAAGCTCTTTGTGGAGAGAGCCATCTTCCCAGTCTCATAGCACTGCTGCTTTTTCAAATTTTTTATTTTATTTTTGATTGTGTATACTTAACTGTATCTGTGTATGTGTTCATATGAGTGTAAGTATCCAAGAGGCTCAGAAGAAGGTATTGGATCTCATCTGGAGTTCTAGGTGGTTGTGAACTGCCTGATGTGGGTGCTGGGAACCGAACTTGGGTCCTCTGCAAAAGCAGCCAGCACTCTTCCCTGCCGACCATCTCTCCAGCCCCACGATTGTTTTTATACACAGGCTGGCCTGTAGAGCTTGTTTCACAGGACCAGAAAGCTTCTTGGAGGAGATATGAAACATTGTGGAATCAGTAGTTACTCTGTGAACCCTAACAAGATAAAGCCAGGACGTGGTGAAGAAAGGGCTCTCTTTCACACTGCCTGGTGGCAGTCATCTCCAAAGCCTCCACCAGGACCACCAGCTTGCCTAGAGGTTCCTACAGACTCATACACAGGCCTGAACCATGGAGGAAGGTTGTTAGTCATGTAGTCAGAGAACATGTAGTGACTGTTCCAGAGCTGGGAATGGTGGTGCAAATCTCTAATCCTAGTACTAGATAGGAGGCAGAGGCAATCATATCTTTGTTAGTTCAAGGTTAACCTGGTCTACATATCAAGTTCCAGGCCAGCCAGGGTTGCACAGTGAGAACTTGTCTCAAAAAAAAAAAAAAAAAACTATAAAA